TTTGCAAAGAAGGCCTCCACAGTCCCTCTTATCCTTGAAGGTCATTCCTTGGCTGTGTGAGTTTGCCATTCTTCCTCGCCCTGGAATCTGGGCTGGCCTTGTGCTTGCTTAGTTAGGCAAATAAAACATGGTAGAAGTGAAATTCAGACTTCTGAGCCCAGGCCTCAAGAGATTTTGCAGCTTCTGATCTCTCCATCTTGGGACCTTGAGACTGCTACATAGAGAAGCCTGAGCTAGTCTCCTGAGGATGAGATCTCACACAGAGAAAGGCCCTGCTGAGAGCCACCACCAATTGCCCCACATGTGGGTCAAGCCCTGTTAGACCATCCAGACCCGGGGTAGCTGTCAGACTAGCAGAGCCAAATGAGTGATCCCAGGCAAACCACCCAGCTGAGTCCAGGCCAAATGGCTATCCCATAGAATTGCAAGGTAAAAAAACAGAAGTTGTTTTAAGCCTTTAAGTTTTGGGGTCATTCATATGGATGAGGTTATCTTGAAGATATCTTCTGGTCTAAAATCTATGATAAAAAAACCCTCAACATTCCTACATCACATTTAAGTCATTGAGAAATCTTATAAAGCTGAAAAGAGCCTCAAAGACACAATCTGATCAAGCTCCCTATTGTAACAGAGGGAATGGCCTGGGGGGGGGGGAAATGGCAAAAAATGTTTTCTGTCTCTTTAAAACTTTGGGGGGGTGATATGTAACAGAGCAGTCACCCTCCTCCCAAAGATATGGAAGCTTGAAATTCAGAGTGGAGAATATGTAACAGAGGGAATGGCCTGGGGGAAAAAAGGCAAAAAATGTTTCTGTCCTTTAAAACTTCCCCCCTGTTGTTGGGAACTCAGGCCTGAATCCTGTCTGGGGCAGGTGGTCAGGAGGGCAGGGAAGGTCTTTTATTTTTGTGTTACTGGAGATAGCTCAGCTGAACTGTGGCTCCATCCCAGGCCAGGCACCTGGCTGGGGAGGTCTGAGTGGGCCTCCCGGGTGGCGCTGAGGTCACAAGCTTTGTCTTCCAGGGAGATGGGTCAATTGGAATCACTGGAATCCTGAACAACAATAGCCTAGAACTGAGGGCCCTTCCTTTAAAAGCTCTGTATTTCTCCTTATGTACAGGAATTTGGATTTTGAGACAGTGTTTCTGCCATTTTCCTCCTTTTCTGGCAAAGTAATAAATTTGTTTCCCTCTCCTCACACACTTGTTCTTGTTCTTTCTGATGTGGCCTTGGGACAAGTGCTGAGCTTTCGGTAACAGTACCGTCAGGTGAATAATATCAATAAAAAATAAAATACAGCAGATGATACGTACTGAGCTGCTACCTCCAGGATTTTTAGTCATTATTGCCAATCCTTACTAAGATACTCCAAAGACATTGGTGTCCTCACTTACAGACAAGAAGGGAAGTTTGACAGGCTGGAGTTACTGAACGAGATGTGAACTCAAGCTTGTGATTCTACAGCCTCTGATTCGAAAGCCCATGTTCTAACCATATACCTCATTGGCTTATGGGTATTACTAACCTCACTCATAAACAATGCAATTGATATAAACTACAGTGACTTTGCCAATTAAACAGGTGTAGTGATAATTCAAATATGATTAAAGAGAGATCAGTTATGTAAGTTTTGAAAGCAAAGTTTCCTAACCCAGAAAACAGGAATTTATAGTTCCATTTTCTTGTCAGAAAAACTTCAAATATTTCTCAAAATAGTTCCCTTTATTAGCACCTCTTGCCGAAGGCATTAATTTCTCTTTTCGCTGTTCTCACCTCTTTTTTAATCTCCTCACAGATATTTTTCTCCCTTTTCTTACTTCTTTGGCTTCTGCACACATATCGTTTTTTCTTTGACAGCTGACCTTGTTCTTGACCCTCTTGTTACACTCCCCCTCGCCTTCCAGGCAGCTAAGCCTCCTGATCCCTATCAATCCTCTACTCTAGGCTTCAAGGACCTCTTGCCAAACAGTCCCAAATACAGGTTCAGTCATCAGTGAACCGAATGAATTTTTTCAATTACGCCCAATTCTGTAAAGTGATTTCCTCTGATTTACAGATCAAAGCAGCATTCAAGTTTCTCCCACGTAGGAATCTCATATTTTGTTCATATCACCAGCAACCACAACACACCGAAAAGCACAGACGGAGGAGGGCACAGGACAGAAACCGTATCCGAGTCAGCTTAACCAGTGGGCCAATGTCATAGGCACGGCTCGGTATATCCAAGCAAGAACTTTTCCAAAACCCTGAAGCCCCAGGGGAGACTCACCATTTTGTGTTGTCCCTTGTTTTCCTGCTGCAGACAGGTGATACCTCCAGGTGCAGATTTCTTACCGCTCACCCCTAGGGAAAGCTTCAGAACAGCTACCCGAGTTCTCAGTCAGAAAAGAGGCAGAGCAAAGGAAGCAAAACCCTGCTCACAGCAGCTTTATCACAGTCACTGGTCTCTCTTCCCCTGTGTCTTCTGAAAAGATTGTTATTTGAGTGCCTTTGCCCTGACATCAGAGCTTGTTCTTTGGCTCAGCCCACAGCCAAGACTCAGGGAGGGCAGGATTAGAAAAAGCAAGCAAGTGTATTGAAAAACGTGTTCTTTTCATACGGGAAAAGTAAAACACCCAGAGGGAAGTCTGAGTAAGGGCAGCTCAGATAGGGAAAGTGGTATAACTAAAGCAACCACCACCAGCAACAACAAACCTTGGAACTCAAAGAGGGACAACAAATAATGCGCCCCCCCCTGCATTCAAGCCAAGCTAGATAACGAAGCTCATTTAAACTCCTTGAATGGCTATGATTGAAACTGCGCACTTTGGAATAAATGACACCTTTTCTATATTTTCAAATTGACCATTATAGCCCTCCTGCATGTTTATTTTCACACGCACAAAGTCACAACAGAAGGAAAAAAATAAGTTTCTAAGTAACAATAAGGGTGTGTTAATTCCACGCTGGTTCAGACAGTCACCAGAGATTTTGCAGCTTCTGATCTCTCCATCTTGGGACCTTGAGACTGCTACATAGAGAAGCCTGAGCTAGTCTCCTGAGGATGAGATCTCACGCAGAGAGAGGCCCCGCTGAGAGCCACCACCAATTGCCCCACATGTGGGTCAAGCCCTGTTAGACCATCCAGACCCCGCGGAGCTGTCAGACTAGCAGAGCCAAATGAGTGATCCCAGGCAAACCACCCAGCTGAGTCCAGGCCAAATGGCTATCCCATAGAATTGCAAGGTATAAAAACAGAAGTTGTTTTAAGCCTTTAAGTTTTGGGGTCATTCATATGGATGAGGTTATCTTGAAGATATCTTCTGGTCTAAAATCTATGATTAAAAAAAACCTCAACATTCCTACATCACATTTAAGTCATTGAGAAATCTTATAAAGCTGAAAAGAGCCTCAAAGACACAATCTGATCAAACTCCCTATTGTAACAGAGGGAATGGCCTGGGGGGGAAAATGGCAAAAAATGTTTTCTGTCTCTTTAAAACTTCCCCCCCTGTTGTTGGGAACTCAGGCCTGCAATCCTTGTCTGGGGCAGGTGGTCAGGAGGGGCAGGGGAAGGTCTTTTATTCTTTGTGTTACTGGAGATAGCTCAGCTGAGCTGTGGCTCCATCCCAGGCCAGGCACCGAGCTGGGGGAGGTCTGGGTGGGCCTCCCGGGTGGGCTGAGGTCACAAGCTTTGTCTTCCAGGGAGATGGGACAATTGGAATCACTGGAATCCAGTACAATCCAGAACAATCCAGAATTCTAGGCTATCCAGAATAATAGCCTAGAACTGAGGGCCCTTCCTTTAAAAGCTCTGTATTTCTCTTTATGTACAGGAATTTGGATTTTGAGACAGTGTTTCTGCCATTTTTCCTCCTTTTCTGGCAAAGTAATAAATTTCTGTTTCCCTCTCCTCACCCACTTGTTCTTGTTCTTTCTGATGTGGCCTTGGGGACAAGTGCTGAGCTTTCGGTAACGGTACCGTCAGGTGAAATAATATCAATAAAAAAATAAAATAACAGCAGATGATACGTACTGAGCTGCTACCTCCCAGGATTTTTTAGTCATTATTGCCAATCCTTACCAAGATACTCCAAAGACATTGGTGTCCTCATTTACAGAGAGGAAGGGAAGTTTGACAGGCTGGAGTTACTGAACTGAGATGTGAACTCAAGCTTGTGATTCCACAGCCTCTGATTCGAAATCCCATGTTTTAACCATATACCTCATTGGCTTATGGGTATTACTAACCTCACTCATAAACAATGCAATTGATATAAACCTACAGTGACTTTGCCAATTAAACAGGTGGTAGTGATAATTCAAATATGATTAAAGAGAGATCAGTTATGTAAGTTTTGAAAGCAAAGTTTCCCTAACCCAGAAAACAGGAATTTATAGCTTCCATTTTCTTGTCAGAAAAATCTCAAATATTTCTCAAAATAGTTCCCTTTATTAGCACCTCTTGCCGAAGGCATTAATTTCTCTTTTCGCTGTTCTCACCTCTTTTTTTAATCTCCTCACAGATATTTTTCCTCCCCTTTTCTTACTTCTTTGGCTTCTGCACACATATCGTTTTTTCTTTGACAGCTGACCTTGTTCTTGACCCTCTTGTTAACACCTCCCTCTGCCTTCCAGGCAGCTAAGCCTCCTGATCCCTATCAATCCTCTACTCTAGGCTTCAAGGACCTCTTGCCATAGTCCCCAAATACAGGTTCAGTCATCAGTGAACGCCAGAATGAATTTTTTTCAATTATGCCCAATTCTGTAAAAGTGAATTTGTTGCTTGATTTACAGATCAAAGCATCATTCAAGTTTTCCTCCCACGTAGGAATTCAAACATATTTTTGTTTCATATCACCAAGCAACCACAACACACCGAAAAGCACAGACAGAGGAGGGCACAGGACAGAAACCGTATCCCGAGTCAGCTTAACCAGTGGGTCCAATGTCATAATGGAACACGGCTCGGTATATCCAAGCAAGAACTTTTCCAAAACCCTGAAGCCCCAGGGGAGACTCACCATTTTAGGAGAAGTGTTGTCCCTTGTTTTCCTGCTGCAGACAGGTGATACCTCCAGGTGCAGATTTCTTATCGCTCACCCCCTAGGGAAAGCTTCAGAACAGCTACCCCGAGTTCTCAGTCAGAAAAGAGGCAGAGCAAAGGAAGCAAAAGCCCTGCTCACAGCAGCTTTATCATAGTCACTGGTCTCTCTTCCCCTGTGGCTCTTCTGAAAAGATTGTTATTTGAGTGCCTTTGCCCCTGACATCAGAGCTTGTTCTTTGGCTCAGCCCACAGCCAAGACTCAGGGAGGGGCAGGGATTAGAAAAAGCAAGCAAGTGTATTGAAAAACGTGGTTCTTTTCATACGGGAAAAGTAAAACCACCCAGAGGGAAGTCTGGAGTAAGGGCAGCTCAGATAGGGAAAAGTGGTAGAACTAAAGCAACCACCACCAGCAACAACAAACCCTTGGAACTCAAAGAGGGACAACAAAATAATGCCCCCCCCCCCTGCATTCAAGCCAAGCTAGATAACGAAGCTCATTTAAACTCCTTGAATGGCTATGATTGAAACTGCGCACTTTGGAATAAATGACAACCTTTTCTATGTTTTTCAAATTGACCATTATAGCCCTCCTGCATGTTTATTTTCACACGCACAAAGTCACAACAGAAGGAAAAAAATAAGTTATCTAAGTAACAATAAGGGTGTGTTAATTTCCACGCTGGTTCAGACCACAGTCACCCTTTACATCCTTTACCAATAGTCACCCTTTTCCAATACTCACCCAACAGAAAGTGCTATTGAAAAGACTAGCCGTCCACTCTGAGCTCAGAGTTAGAATTTAAGCGTCAATCTTAAACTTTGTAGCCATCAGAGCTCTTTCGTCTTCCTAGGTGTATCTTATTTCTTTTTTAATCCATTTATACCTTTTACCTGAACCAGCTAAGAAATCACCCAGTGTCACCTGTAGCTGTGCCACCAGGCTGTCCACTCCCTGAGGACAGGTCCTGTGTCTCATTCATTTTGGTATTCGTAGGGCCTAGCACGATCTCTGACTTACAGTTGATCAATACACGATCCCTGACTTACAGTTGATCAATACACATTCGTTCAATTTTGGGGGTAATGAATGAATCCTACAAACTTATTCTGCCGTCATTGTGAAGTAACTCAGTCAATAACAGTTACACGGTGCTTGCCCGGGTCCAGGCATGGTTACACATATTAACTAATTTATTTATTTATTTGATACAGGGTCTGGCTCTGATGCCCAGGCCTGAGTACAGTGGCTCAAATGATCCTCCTGCCTCAACCTCCCAAGGAGCAAGGACCACAGGTACGTGTCACCACACCCAGCTAATATTTTTTTAGACACCTGATCTGCTATTGTTGCCCAGGCTGGTCTCAAACTCCTGGCCTCAAGCGATCCTCCTGCCCTCAGCCTCTCATATTGCTGGGATTATAGGCGTGAGCCACTGAGCCCAGCCCATATTAACTAATTTAATCTTCATAAGAACCCTTATTCCTATTCCTTGTTCTTCATATTATTCCTATTTTACCAATGAGGAAATTAAAATACTGAGAGGCTAAATTAAAATCAGACTGCCTGGTATGAATGCTGCCCCTGATCTTTATTATCCTCTCAGTGCCTCAGTTTACTCATCTGTAAAGTGAGAATGAGAGTAACAATATCTCCTGGAGCTTCTGTGAGGATTACTGGAGATTACGCCTGTCAGGCTCACACATCTATGCCTGGCACAAAACAAACACTGTCACTGTGACCTGTGGAATGGGCAGGATGGGTGGTAAAATTGGTGGAGGGAGAGTTGGGGTTTATGTACCATCACCCTCAACACAAAGGAGGTTTGGTAGCAAAGAGAATCATCCTTAGGTTTTTTCTTTTCCAGTAAAAAAAAAAACAAACTCAAAAGCATCAACCATTTGGCTTAGGCCCAACAGATCCACTCCTGGATCTCCGTGTTGCACTTAATTCAACAGCTGCATCATGAGGAAGCCAAACTCTGCAGTGCAGATGTTCACGAACACAGTTTAGACTAAAGACAAGAGGAGTCACTGCCAGCCACTGGGTTCTAACACTGCACTGAATGCACTGGCTGATGTCACGGTCTGGGCCACCCAATTGCCAAGAATACTACTCACATTTTTTTATTAAAAGGTCCAAAGACGCATACTCTTCCAAATGTGAGTAAGGTATACTATTCCAACATACATGAAGAGCCGATACTTTCATTTATTTTAAACCTGGTTTCCGGCCGGGCGAGGTGGATCACACCTGTAATCCTAGCACTCTGGGAGGCCGAGGAGGGAGGATTATTTGAGCTAAGGAGTTCGAGACCAGCCTGAACAAGAGCGAGACCCTGTCTCTACTGAAAATAGAAAGAAATTAGCTGGACAACTAAAAATATATAGAAAAAATTAGCTGGGCACAGTGGTGTGTGCCTGTAGTCCCAGCTTCTTGGGAGGCTGAGGCAGGAGGATCACTTGAGCCTAGGAGTCTGAGGTTGCCGTGAGCTAGGCTGATGCCACGGCACTCTAGCCCGGGCAACAGAGTGAGACTCTGTCTCAAAAAAAAAATAAAAATAAAAAAATAAATAAACCTGGTTTCCAGTCTAATTGCAGAAAATAACCATGATGGGAACTTGCACACTATAAAAACACACTGTTCCCTGAGGAAGAAAGTGGGCCTGGAGTTAACTATTAAACCTAGTATATGACAGCTACCTCTCTGGGTGCTTCCACATAGATTATTTCATTTAATCACATAGGAACCCAGTGAAGTAGGTACTACACTCATTTGGCAGTAAAAGGAACTGAAACCACAAAAGGTGAAAAAAACCTACCAGAGGTTGCAAAGTGGTGAGTGAAAGAACTAGGATCCTACCCAGCTCAGAGCTCCAGCATGATAATGTTCGTAGAGTGAGAACAGTTATTTCCAGATTATTTTTCAGAGCCTGAATCATTCACCACCTGTCTAGAGAATAAACCCCTCTGCTGAGTCTCTGAATTTTTCTGGATACTGGTATTCTCTTCTCTGGAGTGTCAGTCCCTAAGTAAGTATCAGAATTCCTGAACATCACAGCAAGCCATAAATAAATATTTGTTGAATGACCCAACAAATGTATACAAAAGAATGAAAAATTTGAGTTTTTAGTTTTTGCATGCCTCTCATTCCTCTTTATACAGATGCTCAGACATTGTTCACTGAAACTTGTAGGACAAGCCTTGATGATGCAAGCTGAGTGTTAGGATTCTACAAGTGCAAGGAAGCTGCTCGGAGCTGCGGAGTGGGCCACAAATGCCTCTTGAAAGTCTGTTACTAACACAGCAGCAAGGCAGTGATAGCCAAAAAGGTTCTGATCTGTAGATAAAAGTGTATGATCTCAACATCTTAGATTTGTTTATTATAGTAATATTATTCATGGCTTCTTTCCAAAGAAAACTACATCCTAAATTCTGACCACATCCTCTGTACTGTCAGTTACATAGAGTTAGGTAATAAGACAGAAGTGTATACACATGAATATCTAGTGCATTCTTCCTTCATTTTCATCAATAAGAATGCAGAGCATGGTTTTTTCCCTCATCGTCGGGCAATTTAATGCTTATTCTTAGCACCCGTCCTGCCAGGAGAAGACAAGAAAGAGTCTGTGCTATTTCACAAGTTTAAAGGAAAGTGATGCTCCTATGGATTCCTTCTATGTCCAGGCAAAAAGGTCACAGACTACATTACTTTCACTCCTTATACTATAATTAAAATCCACAATTATCATAGTCAACTTAATTCACCCTCTGTATTATACAATTTTAAAGGTGTTAGGAAACCAACTCAAATCCAACATTCTGGAATTAGCTTTAAGGAATTTAGTGTTGCAATATGAGACTCTCCCCATCCCACCTTCACACCCCACCCACACGCTGATCAAATATGCAAGCTGGAAGAAAGAGAGATCTTGAATAGCTACACAGTCTTTGCTTTAGGACATTGCCTTGTCCCCAAAGGGGGTTTGTGAGGGGGTTTGTCCAGTTACTCATCACCGAATGATCCAATTATCAAGACAATGAGGATTGCCTTGTCAGGAGAATCTGCTTCCAATCTGTCCCTACAACTAAGGACTATCACAGGCTTATGAAGGACAGGCGGGCCATGTACCTTGGGGCAGGTCCTGGGGGATGGTGATTTGTGGCAACAGGAATCTTGCTCAGGGGACTTCAGAATCTCAACTCCTTCATCCTGCATCCACCATTTCTGGGAAACAACTCACAAGCTCATGTAGTGAGTTACGGGAGAGGATTTTACAGGGGTCATTGAAGTTTGTTCAATGGGGAGCCAGTTACAATAGAACACTGAGAAAAAGCCTGGAGGTTTCCTAAATGTCACCACCAAGAATGTACTGCTCCTGGGTTCCCATCAGGGATAGCGGAGGTTTGGAAAGTCTCGACTTGCAAACCATTATCCACTGCAGGATGCACTCTCTGGGTCAAAGAAAGCTCGATGCTGACATCAGTTAAAGCTCATTGGTTAGGATTATAGTTTGTAATATATTTTCAAAAAGAGTTAACCCTTGAAGTAACTCTTAACCAAATGGTCACTGCCTTTTCCAAGTGCTCTCTAGGAAACCTACTTTACAAAGATCAGCGTGGTATTTAAACTGTTTTTCTCCATCTACTGATAAGCAAACTGACCTGACAAACCACTCCACCTCATCAGAAATCACATTCAAAGGGCTTTACTTTGAACATTTCCCCCTTGAATCCTTGTATTAAATGTCATCATTAGTGTGATCTCTGTGCTGATCAGTTATTCCAAATATATGTATTGTTTTCATATGGTATTATCCAGAAGACCTTATCAAGTTTTGTCTTTAGATATATTTATTTACCAAAACATATTCCTGAGAAGCACTCCTAGAATGATTCCATAACAAAATCTGTACCTGGGATAAAAAGAAGTAATGCTAACACTGCCGATGCATATGTCTACTCCAAATTATGCAACTTATTTATAAAAGCCTGACTTCGTATAAAAGATATTTTTCTAGTGATATCATTGCTACATGTTCTTATTATGTGCTATCGTTTTAACTATCAGATTTTGGTATCTAAATTCTTCTTTCTAAATCTCAATAACAAAATTTGTGACCATTCTTTATAATGTATTAAATAATTTATCATAAAATCTCAATGGATCTCTGGAGAACAGGCCTGAATGAAGCTTTGTTACACAATACAGATGAAAATGTAACATTAGAGGATATTATGTACTTTAAATGAATGTGTCTCAGTGCACCAAGAATTGGTACAAAATAATCAAACTCAGTCTGTAAACAATCAACCCATTTCTGAAAATTGAAAAGAAATGTCAATACAAAGAAGCAATAGTGCCAGGTGCATTTTATAGAAGAAAAGTAGAAATGAAAAGGAGTGTTTACTTGGCATATGTATAGGGGTGCAGCCTATTCTTTATTAACAATGACCTTAGATTTTAAAAGTCATCATCTCTTTAGCTTCAAATTCCTTTGACCTTGGCAACAATCTTTGTTTTCTTTTAGGTAGGATAAAGAAATATCTGGCATAGAAAAACAAATCTGGATATCTGATTTCCCCCCACCTTTTGGCTTGTTTTAAATCATTCTGGCACCTCTATTCTCTTTACCAACATCCCCAAGAAGGACTTGATTAAGCTACAAGTAATGAATTAATGAAGTAATGAATTAAGCATGGCAGTAGATCTCTGCTTGAGAGATATGGACCACTTTTCTAGCATACAGGCAGCCCATGTTGTGTTGGGACTCTATCCCTCTCACAGCAAAGTATTATAGTTGCAGGCAATTGCTGTGTTTTGGGTTATGGAATCCAAAATTTTTTGCATTCCTGACCCTCATCAACTGACCCAGAGATTCATGCTTGACCCAGAAGCTAAACAGGAGCAAGAATGCTGCTCAGTGGCTGTGCTCTATTTTGGAGAGTGAGCAACAACTTACTCATGTTTTTCCTCTTGGCACGTCTCATAATCATGATGACAAATAAGAACTAAAGTGACACAGAGGCTGAGAGCCACCCAGTGACAAGGTGTTGAGCAGTACCATGAGCAGAAGCTATGAGGCAACAGAGCCACGGCAGGTAGACGCTATGGGGCAGAGAGAAGAGCTGCGAGAAGAAAACCAGCCACGGCAATGGAAGCAAGTAGGGAGAAGCAGAAGACAGAAGCTGAGCCACAGGCCTGTGATGACCAGCCCAGTTGACTGGCACCAGAATGTGGCTACGTTCTGATCAACATTCTAGTTCCCAAGGACTGGCTGTGCAGGGCTGAGGCTGGTTCTGGTGTCGCCTTAATTCCCCACTG